CTCTCAACCTATGTTTCTGTATTTGGCTGGACCGACTAAAGTTCACCATTAGGTAAACATACAATCATCGACCCAGGCTCAGTACCATCTATCCTACAAGCTCTAATTCCATACCGTCCTCCCATTCTCTCTACCTCTCATGGACAGCCTAAGGTTGTTCAAAAGCGTGCTAGTGAACTTTACTAAAAGCGTCAACTTATGTCCAGTCAGCTTCCTGACATTTGTAACAATCCCTCTCTGGATAGTTAGTTCTTGGCGATGGGGAACGATACTTCTCTTTCTCTCTACTTCTTTATTTGTCTTATGATAGCTCTAGGCCTCTGCCTACGTTACCGATAGTACAATACCTTTGTCTTCAATCGGGAACGCCTATCGTAAGCTTTCTCTAACTCGTTTTCGTAAAGGACTTTTCTTGGCATAACAATAATGTTGCAATAAAGATAAAAGATCGTAAAGATGTTTTATATTCGTTAAAGTAATAAGTAGGAAAAGTACTTAGAACAAAGCGTGAAAAACCTATCTTCCTTGGCCGCATCGACCTTTTTATATAGTATTCTTCCCGCCCTTAGTCATGTGACCTAAAGTGGTCACATGCGCGAAACCAAATCATAACAAACTAGTCATGTGACCAAAGTGATCACATGCTCAAAACCCATGACCTCATAGTGAGGCCATGTACAAAACTCATAAACTAATCATAACGCAATAAATAAGTCATATGACTCAACTGAGTCATATGCGCGAAACCCATGACCTCATAATGAGGTCATGTGCGAAACATAAATCATATGCGCAAGGCTTACCTGTAAGGCACACTCGCAAGGCATACTCGTCAGGTGCATATCCCATGACTCATACTTGAGCCATGTGCGAAAGCATCACAAATCCCACACATAACAAATCATATAACCTGAATAGGTCATATGCGCAAAACAATAACATACCTGTGACTCATAACCATGTGTCACGTGAAAACCTTTTTTCATGCTAAGCCACGTTCGTGACAATATTCCTCACCCCGTACCTCAGCTTTACTCCAATTCTGATGGCAGAAATCATAACTCACGTACTTGCCGTCAACCTCCTAAGGTTTAAACACTCTCCTTTCTCTCTTTCTTTTCTTTCAACTGCTCTCTTTTTTTTTTTTTTTTCTTATTGTCCCTTTCCTATCTATTCACACTTGTGTTTGCAAAGTTTTTTTTAGTCCTCCTTGTACCTTGGTTTTCATTTTTCATTTTTCATTTTTTTTTTTTCACTGGTTTCCTACTATTCAAGACCCACTTCATGTTAACTACATATTCAACATTATGTTTATTCATTCTGTCATTGCTATGCTGTATGTAAATCATCCATGGTGTGGTATTCTAGTTGTGTGGGGCATTTTAGACCCTTGTCCGCTCCCGAAGTGGTATTCTGAGAGTTTTCCATAATAATTAATACTACATGCTGGTATCCTGCATACCCCATTAAATTTACTCCTGCACGGTTCAAGTAATAGACCACTATTACTACCAAAGCGTAATACTTAGCACCAGTACAGTACGAGTACTCGAGCAGGTCTCAAAGCAAGCACAATAACGACATCGGCCGTCTCGGGCCACGCCGCACGATTTGATGCACCAAGAAAACTGAGCACCAAAGACATAGCTCCCCATCCAATCGGTGATGATCAGAGACCGATCCCCACCCCCAAAGAAGCCGCACGGAAATGTCGAGCATACCGGCCCTGTCACACCGGTACCCCTATCAGGCAACCATCCACGGTACAGTACAAGTACTCGAGCACCTGTACGATTAAGGGGGGAGGCGAAGGCAAGTGACCATGCGTAGCCTACAGCACTTATATATCGCGATTTGCGAAAATCGAGGTTCTGAGAGAAGGAAAAGAAGAAGAAAAAGCGCATCTCGGGATATATCCTAACACGTCAAAAGAGATGTGGTAATAAGAGTCCCCCCTTTGGGGTAACAACAAACTGGACCCACAGGACCGTTCCAAACTCTCTCATATTTGGGGAAAGAGAAAGGTCGCCGGATTGGCATTCTAGAGCTTTTACGATCCCCCCACCCCCCCCCCCTACTCTCTCAAGTTCGCAGTTACTCGTAGAGGAGCCCCTCCCCGATACCGGTAGGGCATCAATATAACCGTGCGGTGGTAACGTAGCGTACCGTAGTACTCGGCCACTCATAAGCGTCCGGACGATTACGGCGATACAAGTGCTGATACTGTAATAAACCAAGGTGTCCGAATACTTTATAAATCGCCAAGTATAGACTAATAATCCAGCCAGCCAGCTTCTATCATATGGCGAAAAGCCTCAACGCATCCCAACACCTCGTACTCGAGTATCATATCATACTTGTACAAAAAACCCACTCCCGCACAGTTCTACCGGTATCATACCCACTCCTCCTCCTCCACCGCACCTTATGACAACAAGCCCCGATATCATCTAAGACGGAATGAACCAACCGACCGACCCAACCACCCAACCAGCCGGTCAAGCCTTATTTTCTATTTAAACTTGTGAGGAACATGTTGCACTTTCATGCCTTATCGGTACGGTACGGTGCGTTCCCTCTTTTCTCTTTCTCTCTCTCCGGGGGGTGGCGTTTTTTTGTGGGAACGGCCTTTCGCGATCCCTACTCGAGTACTACTCGTAGTACGTGTACTGTACACATTGCCACAGTTTCGTGTTTTGTGCTTTGAGCGAGGGTTCGTTCTAGAGAGGGAGGATTACCGTGATACATACAAGTGGGGACTTTTTGCCAATCTTCAATATAATGTTACTCGAGCATGATGTGCTTGTTTGCTCAGCTTTCCGCCTGTCGGAGGGTCCCAATGAACACGATTATGTCATCAACGATCTCTTGAAATTCTTATTTTATTTTATGAAAACAAAGAGACTTGCATAAATTCTTAGGGCAGTGTCTACCGGTAAGGTACTATCATAATAATATTATGTATGGTAATTATGATGCCCACTCCGTCAAATACCATCATTACCAAGTTCCCCCTGCCAAGCCCTTCTCGATGCGCACGAACCCTCACCATCCACTTCCACTCACTCGAAACCCTCCTCCCCCCCCTTTGGCTTGCATACGGTGGTGCGCCATTGTCGCAACCTCCTCGTGGCAGGTACAAGCCACGAGTGAAAGAAGTGTTCGAGAACAGGGGAATGATGAATTTGTACGAGTACTCGAGTGCGAGAGGCGCTGGGACACGCACGGATTTCTTTTTCGCAATATATAATATTTTGCGAATCTGTACGGTACCGTACTTGTTGCCATGCTACCCCCCTACGCTATTCATATTCCATCCTTCCACCAAGAACTTATCATACTTTGCTTTTCACCTTACCCTACCGTACCCACCCAAGTACAGCACAATATTCTCTAAAGTACCCTGCAAGTTGCCTTGCCTCCCACCGCATATTCATAGAAAAAGTTCCCTCATTTACACCATAACATAAACGGTATGGTTCAACAACTCACTGAAACCGCACAAAACGCCGCATTTCTCTCCCCCCCCCCCCACTCACCGCTCAACGAACCTCTTTCCCACCGATGTGAAGTGGAGTGGAGTGGAGTGGAGAATATATAAATAGTTGGAATTAGGCGCGGTCCGTGCCGTGCTCATCTGGTGAACATTATGGGATAGCTAGAATAGATCGGTGAGGAGATCAGTGAGGTGTGAAGTGGAGAATCGCAATGGGCAGTACCGTAGTGACTGTGAGGAGAGATTCCTTGTTAGGGGGGCTACGAGGGTGGAGAAGTGGTGTGTGGCCGTTGCAGCCGCTTGATGCTTTGCTTTGCTCTGCTGGTGAAGTAAATTTATTATACCATGCCGGTAGGGAAAAGGATTATTTGGCGCAGGACGACCGGGAAACGAGAGTGAAGGAGGTTGTGGTGCTGTGTTGCGCTTGAATTAGATAGTCTCTCGCATTACCTCTGGCGTTTATGTATCTTATCATGCTGCGAATGGACCGATTGCTGGTACCGTAATTGACCGCATATCGGTCTGGGATGACTTGTTCTTTCCAGCGGGATTCTATTCCGGAGTACGCAGTAAAACTCCAGTACCGGTATTGCTGGAGGTATCGTTGTTCAAGTACAATGTTTTCTTTCTTTTCCAAAAGAGGAGTAGCATCTAGGCCATCAAGAAATGCTCTCTCTCTCCTGATAATAATGATGATAATTTTGATCGTGCTCAATCTATGGCTTCCCCCCATGCCCAAGAACTATTTCTTTTCAGGAAAAAGTCAAGTTTGCCAGGGTAAATTCCTTTGCATCAATCTATTCTTCCTTGACATAAGGACCAGGAACATGGTGCCTTACAACGGGCTGAATCTGTGCCCATTAAAGGCTTGAGAGGCTCAGCAGGTTCTTGTTCCCGCTAACACAGATAAGCGGGCAGCCCTTCGGGAGTGAACTAAAGTGCCACGTTAATTGCGCCCATCACTTACCGTACTGTACATTAGAAAGGCAAACCTCGAATATCTCGACTTGTTGCTTTAATGCGTATCTGTTCGACCTATAACTGCACGAACGTTGAGGCGGCGCCAGGCATCTTGGTAGTCGGTAATGGATCGCACCGGAATGCGGAACATGTACCGGTATGTACAGTACTGGAGGCGGCAGTTGATGATATTCTACAGTACCGGGCGCTTCATTGAACCCCCCTCCCAAAGGTCAAAGAATGAGTGGGCCTTCTAGAAGCAGAAAAACTTCTCGAACTGATCCTGGTATACAAGAGCGGGAGGAAATCGTCGTCCAGATTTATTGAATCTCCCATCTTCATTATCGTACTGTTTAGACTTCAGGGTACAGTACATGCCTGAGTCCAGGAATAGCCCTGACTTGGCATATATCTCCCCACAAACGAGGTCCCTGTGAGTCCCTAATCAATAATACCGGCATACCATCCTGGCAATATAAAAAATTTCTCTGCAATCTTGAGTGAAGGTTAGGGGTAACCGTATCTAGCGCGAAGTACCTACAGTAAAAGTGCGGTCACTGTTACACAATGACCCAACAATCGTGGAGGAAAGACCCTGTCTCATTTTAAGATATGATACTTTATGCTAGATACTCGAGTGTCGTCGCATACAATCGGTCTAAACTTGGACCTCACCCAACCCAATGCACCAGCTTCACACCTTTGAACAAGTAAATAATGTGGAAATGGTAAAGGAAATACCTGTATAATATAAAAATGACAACAAATAACGCCAAGCGTATCTCCTGTTTTTGAAAAATTTACACATTTCTGGCTCGGTCATTCGGGCGGGCCCGTGTTTATCTTGAGCATTTGTGAATTTTTGATATGGTGCCTAATTCAGAACCTCTATATGTTAGGTTACCAGCTTTTATCAATCACTCTTGGTGTACTCGTACAGTACCTGTCCAACGAGAAACAGAATCATCCTTTGCTAATTTGAAAGGCTGATTTTCCTAAAAAAGTTTCCTGTTATCTCTTCGACCTCCCACCATTCAGCCACTGTTTAAAGAGCACCGAAGAAACACGCTTTAAGTGGTGGGCATGTTTTGGTGTGGGCGAGGTCCAAGCTTGTATCAATGATACAAGTGTGCAATGGTATACCAGTACCGGTACTGGTACTGTACTGTACTCGAGTGCTCGTATTTGAGTACAGGTACCGATATTGAACGCTCCTCCTGAAAAGGATGTTGTTCTAAACTCTTTTCCCCCTCAATTTGCCACTTCCCTTTAAACCCTGACTCCCTGTACTCGAGTATCGCCTAACCACGCGTCACGATCTCCTAACGTGTTCACGTGGGGGTGAGACAGCGCCAATATCGTACAGTACCGTACAGTATCCGCTTCGTATTTATTATTGGCCAGGATAAGGTAGGAAGAGGGGTTAAAAGCAAGTACGGTATTCCCTGATGCTCCACTACTCGTATCATACCGGTATTGTTACTCTGGTTGATAGCTCCTGTCAATGCTCGGTGCGGCGAGGGTCAATAAATCTCCACATCAACTTTCGATTGGGCCGAGAATAGAAATGGGTGGGGGGGCAAAATTGGCTGTTTCCCAAGCGTGATTGTTTCCCGCCGCCACTGCTTGCACTGTGCTGTGCTCGAGTGCATCTCGGCTGCTTTTGTTTGACAGAATAAAAGGGACAGTGATGATGATGATATATATATCCGTTGACACAGTTCCAGTGCCGCATAGAGGGGCTTTGTTGCAGTGATAGGTTCACAGCCCGTGACAATTTTGTTGTTTTTGACGCCGGCCTCCAATCATTCTTGCTGGAAGCATGTTCGCCTTGTTGGCCCCAGCGGCAAGAGAAGGCAGAGATGGGAGAAAGCGCTCGGTAGCGGACGAATGGGCGTGCGAAATTATTCGCTTAAACAGGGCTGACTGCCACATTAAACAATTTGCCTTTAGCCGAGCCTTGGCGGGGGGGCGAAGCCCAACTCTTGATTTTTGTTTGTTGGATACCGTTGTCGTAGGGGTATCGGTAGGAGCACGGTACTCGAGCAGTCCATCAAATGATGCACGAAGGAGAGAGAAACCACGGATGCGTGATATGGGACCCAAGTTCGCTTGCCAAAGATCATTGGAAAGGGTTGGAATGAGGCGTTCGAGTAGATGAGCAGATGGAATTCTTCATTGGACACTGATACCGGTAGCAGGAACTGGAGGGATTTGTTTGATCTAGACAACATATTCTACTTGTGCCGGCATGTCCTTGCCATTACTTTTCCCGCATGAGCCGAGGTAGCAATGCGAGATATTTCGGCCTCCAGTCGGACCTGACACGATGTTTGGACCCCAAACCATTCTGAGGCCCATTCTCGCTGCATGGCGTGGGCACGGGATTGTGATGTGTGGTCGCACCCCGTTGGCCCAGTAGGCCAAAGCCCGAAGAATCCAGTATGCTGTGCAGTGAGTGGTCCGGGAAAAATTTCGTGGTTTGGTGTACTCGAGTAGAGGTATTCATAGGAGACAGAGAGGTGTCCGGGTTACCGAGATTCAAGGTAGCCGGGTGTGACTGACTGTAAGAGTACGAGTCCTTGTATTGACGGCTCCTTTTCCAAAGGATTATACTTGTACTGTACGTACATACTGTATTATATCAACAAGCACGAATTTAACGGGCGGAGATTACACCTGAAGTCCTCAAATTCGCTGGAGTACCGGTACCGGTAGAGGTGACAGTGAATGTACCGTACAGTACTGGTATGTGATTGTATGTAGGAATAGGTATGGTCACTGAGAGTTGTCTTTTCTTTTTCTTCGAGTCTCTGAAAGGGAGGCATATCATACAAGCACCCCAGTTCAGTACATCACCACCACCTGCACCGCATATATTCTGTGCCGCAAATTCTCAGGGACGGACATGATTCACAGGTGAGAAGGTGATGATGGCCTTAAAAATCTTTTTGCACACAGGTCGGAGCAGGTTACTGGAGCACTGTACTCGTACTTGTACCTGTCGTACTCGTACATGCGTGGGTTGATCTCTATTATACTCGGATCGAACACACATTGTAAATTGCTCTGATATCTGCTTTATTCCATGGTCCACCGCCGCGTCCAAGAGATAACTTAGGTGGGATAGGCTCCCGGATTGAAACTTTTGTGGTTTATCACCAGCGAAGGAGGTATCATATACTTTCCAGATCTCCTTATCCCCCCCACACAAGAATTTTTTTGCACACAGCACACGACCAACGTGTCGACAAGGGATAATTTCCAATGACATCAAAATTTCCTTTTTTCTATTCTTCACCTTTTCGTTCTATTTTAACCTTCACGGAGAATTCCGACAAGATGTGCTAGTACGAGTACGAGTACATTAGCTTATTTAGGGAATGTTTTTCGCTGTGCTCTTTGAACCCTTTCTTTTTTGCTTTTCTCGAGTACTGTATCCTCTTCCCCTGGAACTTGGAAGGGTCCAAAGCAGGCTTATCATTCTTTGCTTGTTGTGTACTCGAGTAGTATACTCGTACAGTACCGTTATTCGTGTGCGGTATCATCTGATAATAATATGATAGATTATGGGCGGGAAGAGGTATCTCTCTCTCTCCTCCTCTCTTCTTTTTTTTTCTTTTTTTTTTTTCTCAGTGCACGAACCAGCAGACTCTGGAACCCCTGCAAACCCATTTTTCTTGCATCCTCAATCGCCGTCTTTTGCGTTCCCTGTCTGCAGTACAGTACAAGTAGTACTTGTACCCTCTCCATCCCTTCCCCTGTCCCAAAAGCATCGAGTGCTCGATCGAGTATCAAGGACCGGTTAGATTGGGCGGCAACATGGGTACAAACTCGTCCTCACCCTCCCCATTGTGCAGAGTCTCCATAAATAATGCGTTATACTTGTACTTGGTACTTGAGTACTCAAATAGTTCTTGAAGCCTACTATTTACATGTTCAAGCCTTACAATCACGTTAACCAGACAGCCTGCCGTCCCTTGTCATCATCACCGAGGAAACTGCAAAATTTGCTCTTGCCCCATCATTTGTGCCTCACTGAGAGATGAATATTAAAAATGGGAGTGGGAATACCTCTGGGAGTGACACCGCCACAGGTCCTCGGGTAAATTACTCGTACTTCTTGTAGGGTATGACACCATACGCTATGATACGGTGAGAGACAGTGACCAGTGCTCGGTGCCATGGGGTACCGTAGGTGGGTGCGGGTGTATGGGTGTGCATCGCTATTTTTCCTTACCAAGCAAATATGGTACGGGTACAGTACTCGAGTACCGTACTGGTACTGTAAAGTAGGGTACCTTTTTCCAACCTTCCCCCTATCAGTATATGTTTCTTTTGTCTGGTCGACCTGTTCTCACTCCAGAGATTCATGATGCCCGCTCCTGGACAGATACCAGTATGGGTACCGGTACTGTACTCGAGCACCAGTTCCACTATCGTAATCCTAAGTTGTTTACGTTTCGTAGCAGGCAGATCACGAATTTGAACACCGGCACTCGATTGCGCTTCAGGAGCGACACTGCTTCGACTGGCCTTGGATATTGATATTTTGGCTTGTCTCAGTTGTGCAGAAGGGGGTGTTGTGGCATTGCGTGGAGTCGAATAGGAAGTCTCTTACTCTGAGCATTCGACCCTCCGAGACCTTCACTCGACCTGCACTACCGGCAAGCCTAGGACACATCCTCGCCTCACCTCAAACCCTTTTTTACTCGTCCACCACCACCGCCCGTTGCTCCCACACCCCCCCTAGAAAAGAAAAAAAAAAAACAAGTATCATAAATAATTCACACAACTGCATGTCCTCCGCACACCTTCTCCACCGAGGACCTCTTCGGCAAGATCCAGCGAACCAACTTTTTTAGTCGTCACCGGATCGGGCTTGGAGCTGATCTGTGAACCTCTTTCCGCATTCATTCATTCATTACCATTCCTACGTCTGTTACCCCCCCCCCCCCAAACTCTACGCTCGTGCCTTGCATTCCTTCCTCCTCTCCTCCTTTATTCCCTTCTTATCCATTCATTCTCCCTCAAGTTGGAACCCGTGAGCAGCGAGTAACGACGGGTTGGAAAGCAAGGTTCGACTCAGTTCGGAGAAAGACCAGAGAAGAGGAAAGCATCTCAAGCAGAAGCAGGGACGGGTCCGGGAAGCAACTCGAGCCTGGATTGGCCCGTTCTCCTCCACCACCTGCTCGAGCACAGCGATCGCCATCCATCCACCCCCCTCGCCTTCAACTGCTCGGCTCTAGGGAAGGCTGATATCCGTCCCCTCGTCTGCACTATCCACCCTTCGCACAATGCCTTCAGTGTCTTCTGTTATATCTAATGATGTGCCCAAGGCTAACCCCACTGTCACTCACACTGTCACTACAAGACGCCGCTCATTACCGGTATATCATTCATACTCCTCCGAGTCCCTTCGTCCAGCAATAAAACGTGTATCTTGCTGCACGGCAGGCGTCTCTGCTACCACAAACACCAATCTGAAGATGCGGTCACATAGCCCAGCAATGGATGCGGTTGATTTTGACAACCTTCCCCCCGCGGTTAGGCGAAAAGTGAGTTTTTATTTCTTTTTCGTTCCTTCTCCGCAACTCACGCTCCCTTCTGGCCTATCAGCCAGCTCCCTCTCTGCTTCACAGCATTGGCCTACAATTGCAATTGCCTTCAAGGGCTGGAGGAGATGGGAGAAATAGTTCACGGCTACAGAGAATTAAACGCTTACCCCTTTCTTTCCTTCTAGTATTTCTCTTCTTTAGAGAGATTGCGATACGCACAACAACACCAACATCTGGGTTGCGTGTCACCATTACCATCATCCAACCACGGAAGGACAATGAGCTCAGCCAGTGGGAAGTTTACAAGGTTAAGATCCAAGAATCGGCCATCGTATGACAGCTTTCGAAGCACGCGTGCACCCCCTCGGCCAGCAAAACTCTGCAAACCAAATCCTGAAGCCAATGCCTTCCTGTTGTCCCAGGCTGACGCTAAATGGTATCTCGAGTTACCAGAGACGATCAGGAGGAAGCATTTTTCAAAGGAAGAACGCTTCCTATTGGCGACTAAATGCGAGAGCATTATCGTTGATGCAGCAGACGAGGCTATATATCGAATGGGAAGGCATGCCAACCATAGTTTGGACACACTTGATAGTCACAGGTCATCAGGATCGGGTTTCAGGGACTCCCTATATGATAGGGACGCGATGAATGCTGTCGAAGAGATCCGAAAGTCTCTTGGGTGGTTGGATGAGGATGGCGCATTGGATTTACGACTGAGCGAGTTTTATTGCTCTGACTCGAACAAGTTTGAAACGAATCCTGCTCCTTCGAAAAGCTCCCACAAAAAGACGCTATCTCTCTCCGGAAAGGCTTTTAGCACACATTCATCCTCCTCCTCTGTTCCTACTATCGGTAGACAATCCTTAGGAAGTCGTCGTCCGACATCTCGTGGGAACATCACCAGACACCAGCCATCTTTCTCCCAGAGCATTAATTCTATGGATCCCGATGCCGCCTACTACCAAGATCCCGAAGCACGATTAAAGCTTCGGGTATACTTGGCATCCCCTCAAAAATTTGATGAAGCGGTTGAATTTGGATTTCCTTCCACGGCGGAATCGAAAGGGTTCTCAAAGGCTCGTCCAAGAACCGCAACGGTTCGGAGGGTGGAATCAGAAGTAGATGACTTGCCCTGCAAGGAGGAAGACCATCCGTTCAACGACTTTGGCAATGTCTCCATGGCTGTCGGTGACGTTATGGGCTATCAAAAAATGCGAGGGCTTGAGGGCCGGACCTCGCCAACTGTGTTGCCGTCTAGGGTCAGCAACGTCAGCGTCTTTGACCCTTATCCTCATGCCTCTCCCGGAAATAGGGAAATGACATTGCGCATGACTTTAACTCGGAAGGATCTTCGTGCAGACGAGAACGAACTATACGGGTGGAGGAAGAGCGACCCACTTGCGCTGGAAGATCTCCCCCCGGCAAGCGACTCGGATGCGGGGCAGTTTGACTGGGGTAATAGCGGAAGGGGCTCTCAAACTGGACTCAAAAAGCTATGGCGGAAAATACGGAGGCTTCCGTGATTTTCATGATTCGGGGATTGTCGTATCTTATTCACTTGAACTTGACTCTTCATTTCTTCTTTGTTTGATATCCCTGTTATGCATTCAGCCTGAGCTTCTCCTTTTGTATTTTTTTCTAGTTCATTGACCCATTGATTGGGAACATGGAGCTTATCTTCGGTTGGTAAACTTTTTTTCCCTTTCATTACTCATTTCATTTCTCTCGAGCAGGGCGGTGGTGGTGATGGTGGTGGCGCACGGTTTCTCGGGTTTCAATATTTCGTTTAACTTCATGTTTGTGTGTTATTTTTTTTCCCCATCTAAAATCTGTGGGGAGGTTGTGCCAACGTGTTCATGAATCAGGTGAATTTGGGGGCACTAGAGACAGTTCCTTGCGTTCTTTCTTTCGCATTCACTTTTAGAAAAGTTTACTATTTCATTTCATTGGGTTTTTACATAGTCTGAAAGTTTGTTTCTATGGATAACATTGTTCGTGGGTGGTGCTGCAAGTGTGGTATTTTTTTTTTTTAATTTTTCTTTTATGGGTTGGAGTCCATTTCTCTCGTCGTATCTCACCTCCCCTGCTTCTTGAGTCTCTTTTTGATACCCCCTTACCGCTTCATCTTCACGGTTAAGTGAATATTTGCGCGAATCACGTAAAATATTTTAGTCTATAATTTCTTTTTTCTCTATACTTCATTCTCCCAGTCCACCCTGCGTCTTAAGGGACATCTTCCATTCCCTTTCCTTTTGGTGGAGGAACGGTGCGGATGGGTGATCTACGATACAAAATTTTCATTTCGTTTCCATACTTTGGTCATTTTGTATTACCTTAGTGTCATATTAACTCTCTGGGGGATGAACAATTCCCATCCACCATTTATATCTTTCGGGGACGCCATCTCTGCTACAGTAGTGCGCAGATGAAACGGATGCAGTATGGGCGGAGGGGTAAGACTTGTGTTTCCACTCTTATCATCATCGTCATCATCACTGCTATGATACCACCATGGCTATATCATCACAAAGGATATCTTGCAAAAAGCTGGTGATTTTTTTTCCCCCTTCCTTCTGTTTGTTCCACGGGGCAAGACGTTGCTGGTTGTGCGTGCATCCATCTCGCAACGGTACGGTATCCGAGTACTCGAGTACGGGTACAGTGCAGTGCAGTGCAGTAACATTAACGCTTGATTTCTCAACTGGATGACTGGCGCGCGGCGGGCGGTAAAAGAGGTGCAGTTAAATCGTCGGCACGGCGAACGTTTTGACGGCAACGGAAGTGAGGAGGAGGAGGATAAAGGGAAAGGGACAGGAGGGAGGGGATGGTGAATGATCCATATATATATACCGGTACCGGTATTTACTTTCTTAGCATTCATATGCTGTTGGAATTTGACCGTATGGATCCGAAGGGGAGAGAGGATGAAGCGTTACCGATAGTACCATGCCGATTTTGGTGGAATAAGGTTGCCAAGATTGCCTGAAGATTGATGATCCCTTGGTCTGATCCAAAATCTCACACAGCTTTTAGCACACAATGTGGGCATGGGAGATTTGAGCCCAAAAATTTGACGATAGGTACAGTATGGAGGCCACGTGACCTACTCGGGAGAGGGGTCTCTAGGCCAGTCCACCACTTAGACTATTCTTTTGGGTCGTATGGACTAGCAACGCTGTTAAGAAAGGTGCGAAGGTATCGGTATTTACAGTAGTCTACTGGTATGAGGCTGAGGTACCAGTACTAGTATGATACCTTACTTATGATACCGGTACGGTAGAAATTGGTGTTTAAATGTTATATAAAAGTTTTCCCTTGCTTGAGTGGGAGTGATATCATTTGAATAGTGGAATGCTTTACTTTCTTGCCGCCGGCGTATTATGCCCTCAGGGGTGGATAGGCTTCAACTTTGGCTTGTTGAAAAAACGGGCTTGGCGCCGAAATGCTAGCGCAGAGTTAATACCGGCTAGGGTAGCGCGGAGAACGGTATCCTATCATCTCATACCGCAGCCAATAGGGTGCAGTAGAGTGGGTGGGAAACTTGCATCTTGCCCCTGAACCTTTCCCATCCTCGCGCCCCTGTCGCGCTGCGAGCTTCAGATTGAAGATCGGCAGGGCGTTATCCCCTTTTAATACACTCTCGCCCGCTCTGATTGGCTGTTGGCCACAACTCCAGGTCCTGTCCTGGTGTAATGGAACTTCTTCCTGAGACCCTCCCCTTCTCGGTGTTCCCCCCTCCCGTTTTGCCTTCAACCCCGTTCTCGAACTCGGTCTACTCGCGCGTCTCGGCAACGAGCGAAAACACCCCCCTTCGCCGGCTGCCCCATCCACTCTTTCACAGACCTTCCGTTTCCCTTCCAACTGTGTTGGTTTTCCACCCACCCTTCTTTTCAACATCAACACTCCTTCTGCTTCATCTGCTTCATTGCAGAGCACCCCCGTACTCTCTCTATCCACCCCTCCTTGGTATACCCCCCTATCGACTCGTATGGACGGGTAGCCTATCTTAATGAGGTCCTCGTAAATATCTTCTACACCTTCCTTGTTCCTTATTATTGGACTTTTGGTCCTCAGACACTCCTTCACAGACAAACTCAACGCTGTATTGCGCCGGTCGCAGCAATCACACTCACTAACTAGCACAAATATACACAATGTTATCACTATGTGAACGTCGGTCCCTTGGCATCCACGTTACCGATATGGACGCAGGGGAATCTCAGCCACCGTTGTTGGGGGAGAAGCATAACTTTGTAGTCGAGGAAGAAGAGTTAAAGTTGGAGGCCGAAGGTTGTTCGGGGGTTTCAAGGACACAGCTTTCTTTGATTTACTCTTTGCATTTAGCAGAAGCGTATGTTCTTCGCATCTCTGTTAAAACTAAATCTCGGGATTTTAGTATCAAGCTAATTGACTAATATTTCGGGTAGTATTGTCGCTTCGAGCTTGCAACCGCAGCTTTACATGTTATTACGTGATAGTCAGCTTTGCGGAAGTGTTAACTCGGCTTACTGGACTGGTTTAGTGGAAACTATGTTTGCTCTTGGTTCTATTGCCGGTTAGTTTGTTCCGCATGGGAGGAATCGGGATCCGGAGATGCTGATGCAAGTGGAATAGGTCTCTATTGGGGTCGGCTCGGGGACAAGCTTGGGAGGAGGCCAGTTGCGCTTGCGGGGATGCTCGGTATGACAATATCTTGTGTGGTCATGGGATTCAGCAATGGGCTCGTTAGCTGCGCTCTGATTAGAGCATTCGCTGGACTTATGAGCTCTTCCATTCGAGTTTCTACTGCCACTATGATTGGAGATGTTAGCGAAACATCGAGTGCCAAAGCTCGCAATTTTTCAAGGCTTCCGCTCGTGGCTACTGGAGGGGTTATCGGACCACTTTTGCAAGCTCTTCTTGCTCACCGATTCTCGTCAGATAACAAGATTTGGAGAACCTTTCCAATTTTGAGTTCCCAACTGGCTTGTGCGAGTTTGATGTTCATCTTTTTCCTTGTCAACTTGATTTTCCTTCAGGAGGTTTGTGGCGCTTAGCTCTGACAAACAATCACGTGTGTTTTACTAACAATAATCACTAGACGCTGCCAACCCCATCATCAGAAGGGTTTGACGAGGAAACACAGCTGCTCCCTCACTCAATCGAATCCTTCACCGAGAAGGACACATTCCTTGGACAGGCCGAATACCCTGCAACTCCGCGCCGCCGGGTCACCTGCAGGGATGAGAGACCAGAGCCCATCAGATTTTCTGAGATTATGCGTGCCCCGTCTCTAATGATCCTCTTGTGCTCATACTCGTTCCTTTCGCTTCACTCGGCGTCATTTGATCAGCTCTTGCCCCTTCTCGGTAACTCTTCCACGGAGCACGGGGGGCTTGGGCTACCATGCTTCTTCCTGTCTCTTGTTGTACTATTCGCCGGCATCGCTGCCGGCATCGTGATATATTTAGGGTTCGCCAAATCGGTGCACCGTCTTGGCCTGCTCCAGCTTTACCGGCTCTGCTGCTGGATATACCCGGTTATCTACATTGCAACCCCCCTACTGTCCAAGGTTGCTGTAAGTTCCGAAGTCGCAGTATGGATATCGTCGGCTAGTTCAATTTTCACCAAGACGTTGGTCACTGGGTTCGCTCAGACTCTCGTGACTTATCTTGTTACAAATGCCAGTCCTGATGCCTTCAGCCTCGGTAGTATTATGGGAGTCATGCAAGGCGCAAGCGTATTCCGAAGTCTTGCGCTCGCTGGAACCGGTGTCGCATTCTCGCTCAGCGATGATGTGTCGATTGAGGCTACCAACTACATTCTTTGGGCTGCTATGGCCATCGTTTCCCTCGGTGGTGCAGCTGTGGCATACTTTGTGCGCGATCATCCTACTGTGCGGGACTACTCTTCTTCTCTCAAGTGGGAGGTTTGCTACGAATCATCAGAAGACCTAGCAATCTAAGCGCTGTCTCGTGATAATACCCGGTGCACAGGCACTCATTCTCTTGCTTTGCCGTTGCCTTTTTCTTTTTACTTACGTATCGCTTTCCTTTTGTGGTGCAACGAGAGATATAGGAAGTCCTACCCTGACTCAGTCACCCATTCTTCCTTCGGGGGCGGTCCCAGCTTTTGATACCGTTTTTAACAGCACTTGAGGTGTCGAAGTCGTTTTATCAACAAAATTGCTCGACCTTTTTTTCTTCACGTCTGTCTCTATCTAAATATCTCTACTCTTTCCATTTGGGAGGACCGTTGTACTGCAATCGGGATGGTGGTGGTGGTTTATTGTCTCATACACTTTATTTCGACATTTAGCGCTCTCTTTTATATTAGGATCTGGGAGTGGGGGGGGTTTGTTGTATTTAAATAACTTGGGTGTCTCGTCTTTTTCCTTTTACCATTTTTTTCTTCCTTGGTATGTTTTCCTAGTGTCTCTTTCCAGCTGTGGATGTAGCGGTGTTTACTGACTAACATGAGGTCCCCTCCCTTTTCTTTTTTTTCTCTTTGAAGAGCTCTATCGTGTATTATTATCATGAGTTGAATCTGTTGAAGCAAAAGAAAAGTGAAAGAGAAAAATACCTGTCAGCTCTAGACTACGGTAATGCAAGTCTATGATCGCGATGGTATGGTAGTATGTTGACCGCTTAAGTACCGGTATCGAGAGCGGAGCAGAAAAGAAAAAGAAAAGAAAAATTACATGTAGCATCGGTAGGAGTGAAGTCAGCTCGGGAAACTAAAGATAGACTAGTCAGTGATCGACCATGAAGCTTTGTCTTGGCCGCAATTACCATATATGGAGGGTGCTTGCCGCCAATACTCGTACATATGCCTAGTCCCTTAGGAGAATTGCTGCGATGCAACAGAGCCAATCATACGAGTACCTTCGCCTTACTTGCACAGTTCCGCTATCAAGGAGCCCCCGAGACCTCGGATCATACCAACCACCCATCCCTCGTTGCTCAATTCTTATGATCGTTTTCAGTTGGCTATCGAAAATATTGTTCTCGATCCTTCACTAATGACTGACTTTGTGCGTGCGGTTCACACCCGTTCCGTGGTATGTGCGCCCTGAAAGTCTCCGTCATAGATACCACGAATCCGAGCTTAGCAAAATGTAGTATATCATGGAACATAAGTTGCCGACCCACTCCCGTCCACAAAAGTTTTCAAACCAGTTAGTTGTATTTGGATACTACAGCTAGTAAAAAATATCAACATCACAACATCACTAAGTATTACTACGTATGCTATTACTCCCTCGGGCTCTTTGCCCAGAGCCGAGTCACTGGATTTGTGGGAGCATATATTTGATCAACTTGAAGAGTCCACTCTGTGACGGGGGATCTGGCAAATGGCTTTGTAAACTGTTGAAATAGCTTCCAATGAAGTTACAATTGGACTGGTCCAGCAAATACTGGTGATAAAAAACTTAGAACTGTAAATCTTGAAAGGAGAAGTTGGAAATAGGTAGATGGAAATTCTTGAGAAAATAGATTTGATAAGGGCAGATATAGTGGTTGAGGTGATTAAAATTGTAAAAACAAAGAATTAAGTGGAGATAAAAAAAATTATTAATATAACATCAAGAAACTGTAGATTGCTATAAAGGTATAATATAAAAAGAGAGATTTTATATATTTTAGAAGAGGTTATAAATAGATAGAAGATTTGTAATATATAGTATAATAGTATTAAGGTAGCAGAAAATCTTGAACTTTAGAGGTAAAGTTTAAGATCTAGTATTCAAAAATCGGACTGTAATAGGAGCTCCCTATGGGAAGATGAATCTCAAGAGTGCGATGGGGATGAAATGAATTCTTCAGAGGATAAGGATAAAATAAAAGTCTCAATGTCTCAGCAATAGAGTTGAAGAAACAAAACAGTAAAACTTAATATCATTAAGCACTGCTAGGTGGAGACAACCTGATAGACTTCAGAGTTGCTTAGGCTAACCAAGATTCATTTCTGCAGACAGAGATTGTCTAGGAAGGCTCAAACTTCACTCAATTTGTTTATGACTACTAAGAGCGAAGTAAAGTAGGTAAAGTAAAATAGAATTATGAAGATAATATTATATTGTTAAGGTCTCTTCTCCGTTACTTGATGATGTCTAAAAGCTTGGGAGGCACTTCAATATTTATATTCCACATCTGAGAGTTCGCGGACTACATCTATCTATTATACAACAATGTACCTCTTCTGATTATAACATGCAACAATGGGTATTCTTCAAGGTGTGAAATCCCGGAGACCCTGAAAAATCACCACACTCTCTTCGGTAATTATGATATAGCTAACTGAGAATCATAGTGTTTTTAATAGTAATTATCTGATTGTCAGAGTCTTTAGACTTATAGCCTAGTTCTCAAGTTGAACTGAGTTGGCCTCAATCATCTCTGTTGATAAAACGATTAGTTTTATTAGCTGATTGTATTTGCGAAGGTAGTCATAATTGCAACCTTCCTAGGTCGCCTGACTTCAAACTTCTGTAGCTCTATATTCAGCTGACGGATATTTTCTAGGAGACTTCCGACTAATTTACAGGAAGCTATTCTATCGGATTGATAGATAATCCCTTGGTTGGCAACTATTGGTTACTCTAGATGCCTCAGTGAAGTTGTGTATGTAACCTTCTTAGATTGCCAACTTTGAAGCTCAATAGCTCCTGTTTCAATCCATAGATTCTTATTCAGTAACTTCTCTTGTGTAGAGGAGAAGTACTTCTATAGGATAAAATCATAACTATTCGGTCTGAGATCTTCGGCTGTCATGCAGGGAGTATTGCAGTTGCAAGTAGTATTTGTAACTTGTTTTCAAAATGCTATTAAAGTTATGAGTAATAGGTATGATAGTTGGCAGATGGCCTGCTCTACTAGAGAGGAGATGAGAGCTGAGAACTAAAGGAGGCTTCGAGGGTGTATTGAGAAAACTAATAAGTAAGCGTTCAACCAAATATATTGAAAAACAATTTGTCAAAGTCTGCCATTTCCATTGTGGAATCAGGAGGTCTTTAAATACATAAGTTTGTTCATATCTAGCATAAACGAAACTATTTAAAGGTATCAAACAATACACTTTGGTAAAATAAATTAAGTATCAAACTGATACTTAAAACAAAACATAAAACAAATACAAGTATTAAATGGTACTTGAAACAAACTAAATATCAAAGCGTTGAGCAGATTATAATGTAGTTAATTGTGGGTGGTAGGGAATTGTTTGGCATGTTGTTCTCCTACCACTTGTTCACCATGTTCATAGCATGCTCCAGCTCTTCTAGTAGTTTCCAGCTGTTTTCGCTTGTTGGGCATTCTTTCTATTTGACTAAGAACTGATCATTTCCATGCCAAAGGTGGTGATCTCAGATTTCTTCAACTTCTCATTCATCTTTCTTATTGCTGGTAATAGGTGCAGCTCAAGAGTGAGTTCTTGTAGGGAATTTAGAGTCATCATTAGAGTGGAAGTATTTAACAGTAGAAGCATGAAAAACGATGGTATTGCTGTGATACATATGTTTATCGATTTGGACAGTGTAGTTTTCTGTATGCTTATCAAAGGATAAGACCTTAAAAGATTCTCACCATCGCATTTGTAGTTTCTTGCTGCATCTAACATTGGTAATAAATATGTTTCCACAGACTATAAGCATGTCGCTAAGTAAAATAGGTATGTGTTTGCATTGTTACCTCTGGACAGTAGTTGTACTTCAACATCTTGTTGTTTTAACAGCTTAGAAGATATCATTACAGATAGCTTGATCGCGGTTTAAGTGGTCATCAGAGGTGGGGATAGAGGAGTTCTTGAATAGGTTTGTAGACAGGAGAGGATATTGGTGGCTGAAGATTGCCTTATATGGAGACATTCCTAGGGTGTCTGAACATCCAGTATTTGTAACTGGTATAGGTCCTTGGTTATTGGTTTTGTTTTATGTTTTGTTTTAAGTATCGCTTTGATACTTGATTTGTTTTAAGTATTATTTGATATTTGGTTTTGTTTTATGTTTTGTTTTAGGTATAGTTTGATACCTACAGTGCCTTATCAGAAGTGTTCGTGATCTGAGATATGTTTAATTGCGGTTGCGCCATGATACCATGGGGTGGAGTTGTCAACAGCGCTCGTGCGACGCGAGTGTACGATCAACCCTCAACTACCACCTCTCAATGATGAGCGGTTAATAATCAATTATCTGCTATATATATTTTAGAGTAAAATAATAATAAATAAGGCTAGCTAATACTTTGTATAATCTCTCCTTGCTTCCAATACTGCAGCGACTCTACCAGGCATTGATCTCCACAACTTTTCAAAAAACTCCTCAGGAATTGTCTCCCAAACCAAAGGTAATACTTGTGCAAGCCTCTTCTTAACAGCTTCTTTTCCTCCTGGGGTATCTCCAATTCTTGGATATTACTGGTGTAATCGCTTTTTAAGTTCAACCTATACATGCTCTATAGGATTCAAATCAGGGGCATATGGGGGGTACTTCTCAACCTGAATACAATTTCTCTCAAGCCAATCTATGACACTATATGCCTTATGAACAGGAGCATTATTCTGCTGAAAAAGAACATCTTTAAGTTGCATACTAAAGGAAATCATTTGATGAATTACAGGAAAAAGATGTCTTCTTAAAAGTCTAACATATCTGGTCTTGTTGATATTTTGGGTAATAGGAACTAAGGGACCTTTTCTCTTATCCCAAAAGCACCCCTATACCATAAGCAAAATACCCTTATCCTTTTCTTTTGGGTAAATCCATTCTGCAAGCCACTGCTTCCCAGGTTCTCTGAAAACCCATTGCTGCCTTGGATCTCTGGATTTCTCCATACTGTACTTATCACTCCAGATAACTCTCTCAAAATCCTCAGCTGTCTAATTCCTATGAGAAGTAGCCCATCTTAGTCTCTTAGCTATATGGACAGCTTTGAGCTTGGGTTTTGACTTGGCTAGCCATTTCTTAATATTGGCATCTCTGAGTACTCTATCCACTATAAATTTATTAGAGAATTATGTTCTATCACTCAGGCTCAGATGGGTACCAACCAGTAGAAAGAGAAATACCTGGCGCATATTTATCCCTGAAATCTGATCTGGTCATTTTCCGGTTGGATTTGGCAGCCCAGATGATTGTGCAATGCTGTCACTAGCTGAGAACAGGTGTGCGACCAGGACGAGGAATATTATCCAAGAATAAACACTCACATGCGCGATTGAGAAAGCTTTTAATAGTTGACCATAGCCAGCCAATAATTTGAGCAACCAGAGCAATATTCCGGAGGCAGTGGAAAAATCTGATAATCATGCCTTTTTCCACATTGGTCATTTCAGTTTGAGTGGTCTTTGGATTTCGCTTTTTTGGCTTTGATTTATATCTGGATCGGTTAACCATTGGAAATTTGGAGGAAATTAAAATTAAAGAATTATTCGAATAGAGAATCACCATATCGTGGTGTGTAATATTTTATGAGGTAGGTATCATAGGATTGTGCAATCAGCGAGCTGGCATTTAGTGAGGTGGCATTTGATGAGGTGGCATTTTTGGTGAGGTTGCTTAGTAAGATG